ATGAAAAAAAGACACTTCAATATAAAGTTTTTGCTACAAACCAGCTTACAGTATTTTACAGAGATGTATTGAAATACTCTACCTTTAGGGTTTTATTTTTTGGAAAAAGAAATGCAGGAACCATTGATTTTTTGTCCCTTATATTATAAAATAATGCATTTAAAGACCAAGAGAAAATTTACCCTTTATGGTTGCTTCTAACTCAGATTTTGTCTCTGCTAATGTAATACTGAACCAACACCCTTGATATTAGCCTGTGCCACAGATGGAACTAAACTCTGGGTTAAGTCCATCTGCAAAACAGCGGCAAAATCCTAGTTCTGGGCCCCCTGTGTTTGTATCAGGATTAGAGAACATGCCAGGACTGGACTGTTAAAAATGCCATAATTGTCCATTTGCCAATCATGTTGAAGGGAAACTCAAAATGCTGGTAATTCATTTAGTGCGTCAGGGCCCAGAACAAGGATATTAGAGCTGCTTCGCAAATAATACTAACCAGGGTTAGAATACACCTGCAACACAAGCTACCTTGATATTTAATGTTCAAAATATTAGATAGCTGAGATTGTTGAAAATTTGGAAGACTAATGTAGATGTCTTCAAGACTGACTTATCTTATGCTACAACATTGTATCCCTAGAGAGGTAGTGTTATCAGATTTTAATTTTGTATATGTTGTAGTTCATTTTTATTTCAGTTAATTTTTATTTTTCCATCGTTTCTGGGTATGGTTACGTATGCTAATTGAATTTAAAACAAAGGAAAACCAAAAATTAACTGCAACATATTCACTAACATGTAACTCACCTAAATGTCACCTTTTTCTCCTTAAGTCGCCTAAAGTCGCCTTAAATCGCCTAAAGACGCCTAAAGTCGCCTTAAATCGCCTTAAGTCGCCTAAAATTACGGCGACTTAAGGTCCCAGAGTAGGCCTTAATATATTTATTCCGTTGTAGGTTTTCTTAGTATTGTTAATATTCTTATCGCAATAGTTAGTACTAGTTACAGTTGTCACTAAATCTGCCCCCGACCTTTTAACGAATGAAGACTTCTTGTGGTTGTCCATGTATTTGCCATGAACCTTTGAAATGCAGTTTTCGTATTACAGTTTCTGAGTGTAATTCGTTTGTTCTCTTTTGTGTTTTCTCAATTATTACACTTTGTTTCCTGGGTTAATGAAAATCCTCATACATGACATGCTTAGGATGGACAATTGTTTTTTATACATCTCATAATGAGTTCAACCAACACTGCAAATGTAATAGAACGCAGCAAAACCATCTTTAATTATCTATTTGTAACTAATAATATAAATGTTCTATAACTAATGTGTCGAACGAATGCTTTGGCTTCGAGTATGACATTCTTGAACGCAACGTCGAACGCAACTGATATAAATGATTTCGCAATAAACTAACCCTACAAAAACATGGACCACTGTTTCAAGTTTCTCACCTTTGAGATATTTCCCAGTTCACTTTTTCTGGCATGTCCTTGTATCAAATAAAATAATCGGGATTTCGCAATAAACTAACCCTAAAAACACATGGACTACTGTTTATTAAATCCTGAATACCTTAATATAGAACAAAACCCGGTTATTTCACGTTAGCACCTTTCTTGTCTTTGACTGGGTTTTGAGAAATTTGAGCTATTCCTGATGTGGTTTGAATCGAGTTTGTCGATCCACGTTGACAAAACCAGTTCAAAGTTCTGTCGATCCACGTTGCTGATTTGTGTCTGACAAATCAAGTTCTTTAATACTAAACAATTGCAGTACTACTGAATAACTTTTTAACTCTATAGAAATATGTATCTCGCAATAGCCTTCGCGAAACTCGGTTTGGTAACGGAACTCAAGTTAAGCCCTGTCGGTCGGGGTTACGAACTGGACGGGTGACCAACCGCGAATATCGTGTTAAAGGTCCATACGTTGTTCTTTCTTTTCTTCTTCTTCTTTTTTGCGTATTATGTAGTGTTATTGTTAACAGTGTATTGAAAAGCAGATTTAGCATTATTTCGCCCCCCGTATTTAGAAAAAGACAAAAACAAAGAACAAATATGGCCCGGTACAGTTCGCCTGAAAATTATTATTATTCGGGCCGTAATACGGAGCTGAAACTTTGCAGACTTTGATCTACATATCTGCGGGGAAACCAGCAAACTAAGAAATCTGGGTTTTCGACAGTGTAAAACGATCATAATTCCTCTGATTCCAATCTCCTGTTCCTCTGTCTCTTGTTGTCGGCGTTGCCTTCGCTGTGCTCATCGATGTTCCCTCTACTCCGCGGTTTCTTGTTGACGTCTTCTCCTTCGTTGTTCACGCTGAATTTGAAGTCGGCGTTCTCGCTCTAGAGGAGTTTCGGTGGAAAATCTTCCTGGGCGAGGATTTGGAGCCATTTGTTGAGCTTGTGTGTGACACAATTCGGCGAATGCGACTCGTAACAAACCCAGTTTGCGCGGTTGGTGAGCCAGGCGCACATGCTGAAAATTAATCGGG